TCTGTATAGTGTTAGACAAGCCTGTCTCTGTACGCCAGAGAGCTTCGCCTGGGCCGTTTTCGTTATTGAATATTTTTCATTGATACACCTAGAACATAATTTTAATTTTTTATGCTTCTGTATTTTTTCACAGATTAAATTCCAATGACATGACAATTGATGTAGATTCCCGAAGAAGAATGGTAGTCAATAAATTTAGCAATCGACCCCCGTTCGATCTCAAAAATAGAGAAATTCCAATTACGAAAAATGTGGAAACTCGCAAAAAATCGTTCGAAAATGTCAACAAATCATACAAGAGCATCATTCAGCAGCTGGATGGAGAACTGCAAGAAACCAGAACCTGTCCAGACAATAACAAAACTAATAACATCATACCAAGAATCATCGAAAGCTTCAAGAGAGTCACCCCAACCAGACAAGTTGTTTTCCTGAAAAATAGGAACAATAACTTATCTAGTAAGGATTCTTCGCTGCAAACCCTTTACCGAAATAATCAAAACTTCGGAAAACATATTCCCAGGCACAAAATCATGAAGAACCTCTTACAAGACTTCGAAACCGGAACTGTTATAGAAAACAAAAATTCTAGTTGTGATACCATTCCTACGAAAGACACAAGTTGTGATTATTTGAGTAAATCTGAGGGCTACAGTTTCAATACAAAAGTGGACAAGACTACTAGTACCAGCGGACTACCTTGGCCAGTAGTTTTGCAAAACGGTGACAGAATCCCGATTAGAATCAATAAATCACACAAAAGTATAGTCAAGAGTAGGTCTAGAATTCCACAAAGAAAAGATGCCCGTAAAAAGATAGAACTATCGAAAGGAGATATTGGAAATGAAGGTGAATAAAACATTTCTCAAATGACTGACAGTGAAAATATTTTGCATTCATTTCTCTGTCCATGATAATAATTATAGGATTTTCACAATACATTTTTATTTAAAACGTGTTTTGCGAAACGGTCATCAGTTTCAGTGTTCGAAAAAGTCTAACAGTATGAGAGCGGGTGATCTAGGAGGCCATTCAGTGATACCTATCCTACCAATTCACCCTCTACGAAGGTCTTTGTTCAAGGATTGGCCAACAGGGGCAATATTGTGTGAAAGTGAACTTCTGATGAAGTTGGAGTATATCAGTTATCCTGGAGTTGATTTCATCATACAAAAGTTGTACTTATGGTCTTATAAGATACTAGTCCACATATTGGTTGTATACTTGTGAAAATTAGAATTGCTCCAGTACTAACAATTGTGTCTATCCACTTCATCATTCAAACAAAACAAGACTAATGTATCGTGTCTGATAAATATACTAGTTAACACCACATAGAACCTCCCACATAAAAATAATGATTAGACCTCGTATGAATTTACCACGCCGCCCATGTCATACGAAGAAACCGCCGACGTTCGGTAATTATTTAGTTTTTATACCATTCGAATGACTTCATATATACTAATAATAATAATACCTCGCTATCGGTATGAAATTCCGGATAGACAAATGTGCAATGGTCCATCTCAAAAGAGGACGATGCGGGTACTACGGAGAGAATATGCAGTTCGTAGATGGAAGCATCCTACACCATTTGGATGCCCGAGAGACGTATACTTACCTCGAGGTGGAAAAACGCCACTCACAAGAAGTAACAGCAGTGGAGAACTCTCTCCGCGGCAAGTATCAGCACAAACTTTGACAGATCTGGTCATCGGAACTGTCGAGGAAGAACAAAGTTACTGCAACAGATACGCTTGCCGTCCCAATCTTACTCAACTCGTTTGGAATAGAGAATTGGACTCGGGAAGAGCTGTTTCAACTCGACGTAAAGACCCGAAAAATGATGCATCCATATAGGAGTTTGTATTCCAAATCGTCCATTCCACGGTTGTACTTCCCCAACAACAGGAAGGCCGCAGACTTTTGAGTTTGGAGTGTCTACATGACAGAATAGTACTAGATGTAGCCTGTAAAGTCGTCAAGAGTTCGGATCCCCTTCTCTGCTCGGTCCGCGATCACGAGATATCAGGAATTGGAGCATTTCTCTTCAGGGCAGCTGCCTGAGCAGCTGATAAACTCGGTTTAGTTTTCGACACTGAACGAGGTGATCACAACTCTGTCACCAAATTGGAACCCGTTCAGCAAAAAGCTCATATAAAAGCCGCAGAGATCACCTCACTTCTGCAGAAACACAAGGATAAGCCAATTCATGGGGTCTTCTTCAATAACATTAAAGACCTTGGTTTATCAAAGTGCCTGACTTTCGCTTTCCTCAGGTCGAGTGGACTGAAGTCGGAAACTGAGGGGTTCATCATGGCTTGGCAGGATGGTGTCTTCAACACCTCAGTCTACCGCAGTCGCGTGATGAGTATTGAGGTTCGTGACACAAAGTGCAGGGCCTGCCGCAAGGCGTCTGAGACTCTAATGCACTTCGTATCTGCATGTCCAGCATATGCGGTCTCGGCCTATATCCATCGACAAAACGCGGCTCTAAGAGTGCTTTATTATCATCCACGACAATCTTACGGTATTGACGAGACACAGGTGTTGCCCTACGGGGGATATTGAATCCGTTGTGGAGAACGAGAAGTGCCGAATTTATTGGAACTATCTGTTCCCCAACATCACCTCTCTCAACCACCAGAGTAAGACGATATTTGTCGTGGAGTTTTCAACTCCTGGCAAAACAAATATTGTCCATGAAGAAGAGGAAAATCGGATAAAATATCGAGATTTTCTCTTCGAACTCCGCAGACTCTATTCAGACCACTCTGTCGATATGGTTGTTCTGATTATTATTGGAATCCTTGGTGGAATGATGCCCTTTCTACTCTCGAATCTTAAAATCATAGATTCGTAGCCATTTCCATCATATGATGTTACAGTTTTATTTGGAATGTGTTATTTTTCCATTGAACTTGTTTTCCGATGATTTTTTCAGGAAGTAAACCGTCTGTTAGTAGTTCTGGTGTCGAATATGCTCCTATCAAGGATATCCCAGAATGTTTGCACGAAAAACAAACAGACAGCAAACAAATGAACCGGCATCTCTGTGTAAGAGAAAATACATACGTTCTTAACGAAATTAGGGACGAACAAAAAACTGTAAGAAACAAAGAAAGGAGTTTCGTGCAGGATCAAGTAGAAATGTTTAATAATCTAACTTCCACGCCGGGACCGAGAAGAAAAAAACTAACACGAGACCGAGAGTCGGAAATAATGAATTCCAATATGAATAAAAATTACCTGGGTATGATGACATCTGTGAAGAAACATTTTCCGAAACTGAAGCCTGAGCCAACTTCAACTGGTAAGGAAATAAATGTCTAAATTTCAATACTTGTAATGCACTGTTTGGAACTTTTGGTGTAGCAATGAATATTACTGGGATTTTATCCCAACACCAAACCATTATTTTTAACACCTCGACACGTGTTTCAATCAGCAAGATGATTACTGGTGATTGAAACACGTGTCGATGTGTTGAAATAACGGTTTGGTGTTGGGATAAAACTCCAGTAATATTCTAAATCCCGAAATTTAGGTATAATAATAACTTTGATGATCCAAAATAATTCATTTTCATTAATGAGTTCAGTGAAACATAAAACTTTAGGATTGAGGAAACCGGTTTTCTACTTCTTCCACTTTTTTCACCTCTTTTGATATTTTGATCAACTGGTTCCAGGAGTCCCCTTCTATTAATTTTACCGCAAACCGACTCTGCAGATCTGTCTTACGTCGCTTGTTGGGACCACTACAGTTTTGAGCAATACTTAGTGTCCATGGATACAGCTTCTTCAGAGGCACCCCACCCCAGCCTAGAAGTCTGGATACTCTTCACTCCTCGAAAAGTTAGAAATAATTACTGCGGATAACCTTGCAAAATATCATCCTGTTTTCTATATTTCAATGGTTGTTAAAGATATCGAGTCTCTGTTGACAACTTCAAATTTTCCAAAGAAAAAATCGTCTGTTTCCTTCACCTACTCCCCATTGCGCTTGAGAGCAAACAGCCTTCTTCTGCAGCACACTGGAGTAGGTTCGCTGAAAACAAAGACCTACAAATCAGAACTTCTCAGCCTCGAATAACTTTCTAATTTCACCACTGGGCACATTACATGTACCTGTGTTTCCAGAAAAAACGATTATTGTCGTTGATACTGGGATATACATTTTCTATAATAGCACATTCAATTCTTTCAAATATGTTCAAATTCAAATACAGGACTCTCTTATTCGTTTGAAAGACCTATTGATGCCATTATGTGTCCACCAAGGCTTCTCAGGGTGAAGCTCATAACTCTAACACATAAATTAGGCTGAATGTGTCCGATGATATGGGCTATGTTGGCTTTTGGGACCACTGTGTTTTGTGGCTTAATCGCCTACACCTGCGGCTTAAGAAAACCCCTCAAGGAAAAGTCTAACGGAGTCAAATCGCATGATCTCGGTGGCCAGTTCACATCACCTCCACATGAAATATCCATGCCCTCAGATCGCTTGTTCAAAATTTCTATTGTGGTATAAGCTGTGTCATATGTAGCTCCTTTCTGTTGAAACCACATGTCGTTGGTGTCCAGATCATCCAATTCAGGCCGCAAGAAGCTGGTAATCATCGATCCATAGTGCTCTCGCCGTTGCCAGTGATGGCCTAGCCAAAGTCCTTCCCGAAGAAATATGGACTAATGTCTCCACCAGCCCAAAATCCACACTAAACATTGACTTTTTCGGGGTGCATTGGACGCTCTTGGATATCATGTGGTCTCGTCCCAAATTCGACAATTTTGTTTGCTCACATACCCATTCATCCAGAAATGAGCCTCAGGAGGATTTTTTAATGAAAATTAACGTCAGAGCTTCAGAGCCCGATTCAACGAACACACGTCGTTGTCTATGGTTGTTTACCTTCAGTTCCTGGGTCAGTTGAATTTTGTACGGGTGCAGGCACAAGCCACGACGCAAAATTCGCCAAGTTGTGATCTGCGAAAGGCAGAGGTAGGAGTACCCTCAATTCAGGCAGACAGTAACGTCATCACACCAGTTAGGTTGCTTCTCAGCTCGCTAGACAAGACAGGCAAACCACCCTGTCAACCAGAGTGCAACAAATTGTCAGGTGGTGTCCTCAAAATGTCACCCAGCTAGTTGGGCGGTGAGAGAGCCAATCAGAGTGTACCAAATTGCACGTAGCGTCTTCAAACTGTCACCCAGCTCGCCAGCTAATCAGAACGCACGCTTCTGTATCTCAGACATCGTGGCGGGAGATTTGAATTTTCTTTGAACATGAATAATTCAAGTAGACAGAAAATCAGGATCAGGCGTATTCCTTAACGAGACAGACCATCCAGTTACGTGGCGCGCTAACGTCAGGTCATCTTTTCGCACATTTCTGTTTCATGTCCATAAAAACGTCATAAAAAAATTTCCGTTGGAGAATTGAACGCAAGTCGTTGGTGTGATAGACACTTCATCGTTAGTCTCTCTTTTTTGCAAATTATTTAAACACTCACGCTTCTTGGTCTTCATCACTTCTTGAGACTCCTCCATATTGGGTTTAAAGTGATGCAGGCGCGTGCCCAGGATAAATTCGTTGGGGGAGGGGGGCTATCACCCATTTCGGGCCCAATATTTACTATGAAGGGTTCATATACGTTTAAAAAGTAAAACGTGAGTAACACTACATCTTTATCAATATCTTCAGTTTCAAAACGTTTCATCTCAATAGCTCCACTGTCTCTATGTCCTCGTAATGGAATATTCTGCCGACCCAAAAAGATAATGCTTTCAATAATAGAAGTGAGACGTTTCCTATTTTCGATAATTTGCTCCTGGAAGCTAGAAGACAGGTGTAAAAACCCGTAGTTGTGTCTTCATAATCATTTTTTGAGTTCGAAAATAAGAAATGTTCGATTTTTTTCTCTATGTAGTCATGGTGATGGGGGGGTAATTACCCCATTACCCCTCCCCCTCAGGCACGCGCCTGGAGGGATGTCATTTTATTATTTTTAACAAACCGTTTCATTTGATACCCATATCATTGGGATGTATTAAAAAACTATTTCGTCATTGAGGACATTCCGCCATATTGGATTGGATATTGTGTGAGAGACGTCATTCAAACGTATTCTATTCAGAAAACCATTTCATTTGATACTCAAATCATGGGGGTGCAAAAAAAACTAGTAGGCCATAATTGGTTCGCCAGACGTGTTGTCTCTCCACTTTCATGGCTTTTTGAAGTGAATAATCAATTATATTGTGTACCAAGTTCTCACCAACAA